GAAGATTGAGGTGTGAACATACAACATGCGGTCAAAGGAACTCAGTATGCAGGTGAAACAGGCCATCCTTAGGCTGTGAAAACAGAAAAAAACAATTTGAGATATTGCCACAACATTAGGAGTGGCAAAATCCACAGTTTGGTACATCCTGAGAAAGAAAGCATTGGTGAACTCAGCAACGCAAAAAGGTCTGGACATCCACGGATGACAACAGTGGTGGATGATCGCAGAATCATTTCCATGGTGAAGAGAAGCCCCTTTGTAACAGCCAACCGAGTGAACAACACTCTCCAGGAGGTAGGTGTATCAATATCCAAGTTTACCATGAAGAGAAGACTGCATGAAAGCAAATACAGAGGGTTCACTGCAAGATGCAAGCCACTCATAAGCCTTAAGAATAGAAAGGCTAGATTGGACTTTGGAAAAAAAAAAAAAACCATCTAAAAAAGCCAGCACAGTTCTGGAACAGCATTATTTGTATAGATGGAAAAAAAAAAAAAAAAAAGGACCAACCTGTATGAGAATGATGGAAAGAAAAAAAAAGTATGGAGAAGGGCTGGAACAGCTTATGATCCAAAGAACATCGCATCACCTGTAAAACATGGTGGAGGCAGTGTGATGGCTTGGGTGTGCATGGCTGCCAGTGGCACTGGGTCTTTGGTGTTTCTTGATTATGTGACAGGATGGAAACTGCCAAATGAATGCTGAGGTGTTCAGAGACATCATGTCTGCTCAAATCCAGCCAAATTGATTGGGCGGTGTTTCATAACACAGATGGAAAATGACCCAAAACACACAGCAAAAGCAACCCAGGACTTAAAGCAAAGAAGCGGAATATTCTCAAATGGCCAAGTCAGTCACCTGATCTCAACCCCACTGAGCATGCATTTCACTTGCTAAAGACTAAACTACAGGAAGACCCTGAAACAAACAGCAACTAATGCCTTGTCCACACGTACACGGGTATATTATACAACATACCTTTTTCTATACATCTGGGGCTTTTGTCCATACGTACACAGACTGACATCAAACAATCAACAAACTACTAGCAAACTAAACTGGAACAGGGACTTAAATACAGAAGGGTGACAAGACTAATAAGGGGCAGGTGAGATTCAACAACAAGGCTGGGAAAACAGGTCACAGGTGAAACTAATTAACTCAAAGGAACTAAACAGGGAAACTAATGCCTTGTCCACACGTACACGGGTATATTTTAAAACGTACCTTTTTCTATACGTCTTGGGCTTTTGTCCACACGTAAACGGCGTCTCAGGTCACTGAAAACGGAGCTTTTGCAAAACTCCATTTAGGGTGAAGATTTTAAGAAACTGCGTTTTCAGCGTCGACATGTAGACAGGGAAAACAGAGTTTTTGGCTCGAAACGTCAGATTGTGCGCCGTTGTCCACTTTGTTTAACGTCAGAGCGTGTGCTGTTTGCTGTATACATTAGGCGAGTTTGAGCAATGGCGGACTTAGCCGAAATAGTGCTTGTGCTAACCTTGCTGACAGGACTTCTTACATGTGTACAGATAAATGTCACATTTAAATCACACATTTTCAAGTGGCCCACATACCACATGGAATGACGGCGATTGAGCGGACCACTCTCGGTTGCCGCATCAGGTTATCATCTGGGCCAGAATAGGGCCTGATGTTAGCCACAAGTGGCCAGGCTCTGTTTGAGATCTGGCCCTATTGTGGCCCATTACCAGTTTCTGAACCTCACAGATGTTAACCTCGTAAGAGCTACTTTTCAACAGGAACTGCATACAATCCCTGATCAGGCCTCAAATGCTTAAAAACAACAAAAGTCTGATGTCTACAAGGATTTTGAATTTGAGAAAAAAAATAAGATGTCCATGGATGTCTGGTAGGGTAGTATTGAGGTAAGCACACCCTTTAGCAGACACTCATATGCAGAGCAACTTGCATTTTTACTTTGGGGATAAGTGTCTTGCTCAAGGAGCCAATGCTAGTATAGGTGGGATTCAAACCCACAACCTCTTGGTTCAGAAGCAAGCATCTTAACCACTAGACTACTGACACAATCTCTTTTTCATGCACTTTCCACTGGGAAAGTATTTGGAAGTTGGAAGTAGTCCCACTCCCGGCTGCATAAAACGTAAATACCAGTATTGAGATGCATCAAAAATCATTGTGCAGTTCAATTGTTGACAGACCAATTGAATTAAAACAACAAACCGCCCTTCCTTATAGATTCCATTGCAATCATTTATTGGTCCTATTACAATTTATTTGATGCTGTGAGCAACGATGGAAAAACAATGTTAACTACCTATTGGCCCTAAAATAATGCAGCTAGTACAATGAAACACATTAGTTTATTATAATGTTGCATAAGTGTTTAATAATGCATTTAAATAATGTAATGTGCTCTGTCTCTGTCCAAATCGCACACTCATTTCATCTAGAAAACATTTCTTTTTCCATAAGCACAAGTGTACATACTGTACCTTTGCCAAAAGTGGGCCAGAGCCGCAAGCCATACAGTACAACTATTTTTTAATAAAATGTTTAACATGTGGCACATATCTGTTTTGTGACATTTGGGCCACATTGGTCTAATCACAAGTGGGCCACTTTTGGCATACATCCATTTGCTGGTGCCGGAACCAGCCAGCAGTGACACGCACAGCAAATTTGCCAGTGTTAAATTAACACTGCATGGTGTTTATATAATTCTCACCAAATCAGTGTTATATTTCACACTACAGAGTGCAATGAGTGTTAGAGTGTTAGATCACTGAAACTCCACCTCTTCCCAGATTCCAAGCCCATATACTGTAGGTGGTACCCAAGAAGATAACAGGTGGCTGATGTCTTGGGCAGCCAGATACTGTGTTTGATTAACCCACCATCATAAGAAAGACTATGACCAACAAGGCCTTGTCGCTTATGTAAACTTTACATGAGGTTAGCTTTGATTTTCCTGAAGACCAGCCCACTGTGTTCTTGTAAGCTGAATACATGTTTCTTCTTTCTGACTCTTACTTTACTTGGGCATTAAAGTTAGGATTGAGTTAGAGAAAGAATGTTTAGAAATGTAATTATAAGTACTTTTTTAAGTACATATAAAATAGCTTTCTTCAGTATACTAGTATAAGAATAAACCAATGAGCCTTTGTACAATCACCTGTCGCAGATCTGTCATTCCTTAACACGGGCCCCACAGAAAAAACCTACAGCTTACTAGCCTACAAAAACAGACTGCAGTTTTCACGGTTTAGCTACTTAGAGTTTACTTAAAGGTTTCTTATACTTGCCATGGTATGGAGGATAGAAAAAAAAAAATAAATAAATCTGTTAAAAGGCTGTACCATATCATGGCATGCAAATAAACATCCAGCATAATTTGTTTACAGGGAAGTGGACGGTACCAGGAGCTGCAGAGCAAAGGGTGTCACAACTCTCCTAACACATTTCCACATATAAAACCCATCAACCAAGGTCACAACCGGTAACCAAAATCAACTTTCGTCAAGAAATACACCACACCCACATATACAAATATAGCTTTTTTCTAACTTAAAAATCATATGCAAGAAAAAGTCATGAAAAGCAAGGCTTTGTTTGACATCATAGCGCACAGCTCTCTGACCTTCAAAAAAAATTAGCATTGAGCCAAGGAAAATTTTGTATATAATAAGAAAAGGCTGAGAGGTCCTTCTTGGTCAGACCAAGGTGAAATCAGTTTTAGGTTGGATATTCGATGAATATTCAGATCCACACTCTCCAGACTTAGCGGCGCTGTTTCACTCACGCTAGCTGGCATAAGACGGTCGAAAGTCGGCCAGATCAATTCCACAGCCTCGGAGATGCTCGCGCACCGCTGATTTAGCAACGTCAATGAATTACTGTCAGAAAAATAAAATACTGATTACTTGCAATAACTTAAATGCAATGGGATCCAGTAACTCCAAAATGGGTGCATATTCTATAACTACCTGACATACACAGGACACAGTGAATTTTACTCATTTTAAACACTTTATTGTATTTTATACGGTCATTTTAAAAGGAAAATGGGTAAATAGATTTCTTTCAATAGCTTCTAGGCAATGGGAGCTTATGACCCCCAAATGGGTGCAAATTATACTACTACCTGAGCACTATAGGACACAGTAACTTTCATTTGATTTTAACCCTTTGTTTACTTGATATGATTTTTTTTCTTCTAAAATTAAGTCTTTTTTTTCAATAGCTCCTAGATTGTAGGAGCCTGCGACCCAAAACCAGGTGCCAATTGTAGTCCTACCTGAGGCCTATAGGACACAGCAACTTTCATACGATTTTAACCCTTTGTCTACTTGATAAGATTTTTTACTTGATTAGGCCTTTTTTTTCAATAGCTCTTAGGCAGTGGGAGCCTGCGACTCAAAACCTAGTGCCTATTGTGTGTGGGATGTGACAGTAACTTTTCAAAGATTTCTTAGAGGTGTTATATAGTGGGTTTTATTAACATTGAACATCATTAGGGTGACACAATTTCACAATAAAAATAAATATACAGGGCTTGGAATCTGGGAAGAGGTAGAGTTACAGTGATCTAACACTCTATGGTGTCAACTGAACACTATAAGAGCTAATAAAATGTAACACTATACAACAACACTCATACTCTGTAAAGTGTTAAATGTAACACTAATTTGGTGAGAATTATATAAACACCATGTAGTGTTAATTTTTATAATTCCTTCGTAAGACCCCACCTAGAATATTGTGTGCAGGTTTGGTCACCATACCTAGCTACAGTACTTAACCGAGATTTGAGCAATTTAAATTTGATCAGGGATAAACAAAACAACCATGGGATCCACCCTCTTTCTAAACTGGAAAGCATTTTGGGTCAACTTTGTTGTTATTAAATGTGCTATATAAATAAATGACATGACTTGACCCTTTACCATAGTTCGGGTGTGTTGGGGCGTGATTCAGTGTAAACTGAAAGTAAAAGTATCATCAGAAAGTCACATTTCCTTAAGGATATAACGGCGTTACTAAAACTGCACATAGTCCATTTATAAAAAAGAAAATATAACTGCGAAATTTCCCTGTCATAGAAACAGCTATTCGTATAAAAATAAAGGTGGCGATGCAGATCAAAAGTTTCAGCGTTATTTTGATCGTGTTCAAATTTTTCATTAACTCTGATGGTAGGTACATTTTAAAGACAGTTTTATGTGTCTGCTAACTCGTGTAATAATGTTGAAGAAATGTAATTAAGTTGTTCTTGTTTTGCGTGTACTTATTAATGGACCAATACTTGCTTACCAAATATATTCAAATAACTGAGTTGCAATGGATATTTCACACTTATTATTTAATGTTTTTTTGTCATAAAGTGATTTTCTATCTCTTATTCCTGCAGTAGGTTTCCTGCTACACGGCTCTGCTGGTCCTCTAACAGCCCGGCTGGGAGGAGCAGTACTACTGCCCTGCTTTGTGGACAGACCCCTGCCTTTGGAGGAGCTGGAGGTGGACTGGAGAAGGACTGATTCAGACACCATTGTGCACCTATTCCAGGGGGGTCTGAGCAGACCTGAATCACAGGGGGACGCCTACAGGGACAGAGCCCACTTCTTCTCTCAGGAAATCCCCAAAGGCAACTTCTCTCTGCTGCTTGAGGAAGTGAGGACTGCAGATGCAGGAGTGTACAAGTGTGTGGTTTATACAGAGCAGGAGCACCATGAAACACGGGTGGAAATACAGGAAGCAGGCAAGTGAGCCTTTCTGTTGTATTGCTTAAGACACATGGACCCAGGGGCGTAGGTTTCTTATTAACACTGGGGGAGGCGAGTATATCGGGGTCTGAGGTGTGACGTCACTGTGTGGCGCTGTTTACGTTCATTTTTTATTCGTAAATTATTGCTGCTCTAATCACAATATATAAAGTGATATTCATGTTTACATTTTTATTTGTATTCATCTTCACCTACACTATACGCTGAATTGCCAGATTCCGGCTCGAATGTCAGAGCATTTACTATGTAAAAATGACCTCACCTCACACAGCAAATTTGCCAGTGTTAAATTAACACTGCATGGTGTTTATATAATTCTCACCAACCGGTGTATCATTTAACACTTTACAGAGTACAATGAGTGTTGTTTATTAGCTCATATAGTGTTCAGTTGACACCATAGAGTGTTAGATCACTGTAACTCCACCTCTTCCCAGATCCCATATGGGTGGCCCCTATCTGCCCCATTTTATTGTGCACATAAGAACTCATATGAGGATCATAAGAGCCACCCCGGTTTACCAACCATCATGAGAAAGACTCTGACCAAGAAGGACCTCTCAGCCTTTTCTTATTTGTTTTTTGTTTTTTTTTGGAAGATCAGAGAGCTGTATGCTAACAACAAAGCCTTGCTTTTCATGGTTCTTTCTTGGTGTATTTGTTGATGTACTGTAAGCCGATTTTGATTACCCGTTCTAACCTTGGTTGATGGGTTTTATATATGGAAATGTGTTACGAGAGTTGTGACACCTTTTGCTATGCAGCTCCTGGTACCGCCCACTTCCCTGTAAAACCAATGATGCTGGATGTTTATTTGCATACCATGATATTGTACAGCCTTTTAACAGATTTCTGTTTTTTTTTTGTTTTGTTTTTTATCCACCATGATGGTAA